ATGTCAATCTTCTAAACTTGTCATCATATGTAGATCGATAATTGATGTCATGTGATCCACTATTTTGCCCCCGATGGTGGGATCTTGGGTGATGACCCATTCTATATACGTTTATACAGCGGATGGAGTGCCTGGTGCTGTAACAATTTACAGTTGTCTAAAAACATTAGATTGTGTTAGAAATAATTATTGAAAGATAACCTGCAATGAATTATCAATTCAAAATTCTGCATAATCTGAAGTCGATCGGCAATTCCTGCAAGGGAAGAGAGGTGACGACTGTTGTCTGGTAGGTGGAGGCTTAGTGTCCAGCGACTGGCTTGATGCCTGGTGGATAGGGGCGTGGTATCCAACGACTGACAGATGACGGTCTGATGGTCAGTACCTCGTTGGATCCAATGATCGTCTTTAACTTAGGAACCTCTTTGGAAGTACAGACCTCATTGGATATAGGATCTTGAGGGACATTGGACCTCCTTGGACTGGAAGGCCTTGATACATTCTTGGGTGTAGAAGGCCACCTTGATTGCAGAACGAACTAAGTAATGAGACTTCGTTGCTAAAGACATCCTCAGTAGTAGAGGCTTTACTAATAGGTAGAGACCCCCTTGTTGGTAGTGATTTTCTTGATTGGTGGAGACCTACCCATTTATGTAGGTGCAGGTGGACCAGGCCTTAGTCTTCAACGACCAGGCCTTGGTAATTGGCTGTTGCCTGATATGAGATAAAGTCTGGTCTTAGACGACCAAACCTCAGTAGTGAGGGGACCAAGCATCGCTAGATGGAAAACACCACATTGGACTGCCTGGGTCGACGTGCCAAATTTTGATTATTGTCATCGTACACTAGATGGCATCACGTAACCCACCGTTCTGTCCCCAGTATAATGGACGGGTAGTCAGGATGTAGAGTCCCGTCCTTATATAAGAACATGGAAACCCGTTGTCAACTGATGACTTTGGGATGGTTTCTATGATCGGAAACTTTCGTTTTGCCGTCCGAGCCAAGTCGCGTCAGGATTATTATTTCTTCAGAGAACTAATCGTTCCCACAGATGGCGCCAGCTGTTGATGCGAAAACCTTCGCGACTTGGAACGACGGTGTTTACCTGCAAAACAAAGGGACGTCACCTCGAATGGCACCGGTGGGGTGCCAGGACCTTCCGACAATAAAGTTAGTACTTGTAATCGTATCACATAATAATTATGTATATCATGTTTAGGGGTTTTTTCATATACCTTCTTTAATGGCTTGGTGCCCTATTTATGGCTGTCGATTGGAATCAAATTGGTTCCGCCGATGTCGATGGTTGAGGTCCCTTATCATCCGCTTGTGCGAGATAAGAGGAGATCCGTTTGTTGCTAGACTTGTTAGGGATATGATTTACTCCTTTGACTTCCTCAAATTATGACAGATTTGTCAGGGATATGATTTACTCCTGTAACTTCCTCAAATTATGCCATGATTATCTTTACCCTATTGAACCACGTCATATTTCATTATCCTTGATAATGAAATATTACTAGTCTAATCCAATGGAAATATTTTCCCTATCAATGAGTATAAGCTAAGCCGAAAACTTTGATGAAAGTATATTTATCTAAAAATAAATAAATTTCACTTAAAATATAAATATAAATTTCACTTAAAACATATTTAAAAATAAATAAATATGTATTTTATTAATATTTTATATTTATATATGTTTATACTACGTATATTCAAAAGGTAAAATAATTCCAATCACCGCCTCTGGGCATTCATTATTTCACAAATATTTATTGAAATAGAAATGTGACAAGATGGCACTAGCTGCTAAAAGATACCAGTAGTTTTTAAAGTGAAGGTTGGTGGGAACATTATTTTATAGTACGGAGTAGTATTTATTAAAGGGAAAAAGAAAAAGAAAAAGAAAAAGAAAAAGGCTATCCGGATAGTGGATGTGTGAAAAAATAAAGGGATAGAAAAAGTATAGACTAATTTATATGCTTTTTCCGAACAGTGTGTGTTATTTTACACTAATTTATATTTCAATGAAAATTACATTAAACTTAATAAAAATAATATTAACAATAAATATAAGTTTTAATCCCAAAGGTTTGACTCCAATGGTGACGGACTTGTGATTGGAGCAAATTACGTCCACTGAAATTTTTTACTTTTGCTATTATATCCACTATTATACTTATAAAATTTTGAGATTGAAATTCTGCGATCAACATTTCTAGTTAAAAACGTCCCTCTCACATACTATTTTGAGTCTTCCCTGACTCTGGTGCAGGCTCTAACGAGTTCTGTGTGGTGGCGGGGCGCCTTGGAGGATACAGGATTATATATATATATATATATATATATATATAGATATTGCAAATAGAGACAAACCAAATTAACTTGCAGTGATGCCTTCTTTATGTTTAACATAAAGGTAAAGGACCAGGTCTACGTGTAAAACAAGAAAGAGGTAAAAAGAGAAATAGGCTTGTGACATTCAGAACTGAGCAGAAAGTAGGAAAGCAAAAAACATGACTTTGCTTTTTTGAGTTACAGTAGAAAACAAAAAGAACGTTTTATTTGGTAGTAATATATATTTACAAGGCGTACAAAATATTTGTAAATTTTTTATTTAATTTTAAAATTTTCCATTATTATCAAAAAATCTTAAAATATAGAAATTTATGCGATTCAATTATTTCACATATATTAATATTACCAAATAAAATACACGATAATAAAATATAATATTCAATTTAAAATCACAAATTTTAATAATGCCTAATACGTAAATACAAAGTAAGATATACTACAAAAACGCTCTTACCGATGCGCATGCATTGTGTACAACATTATTATGTGATATATATTATATATCTAACATATATTTTGTTATAATAAATTAATTAAAAATATATTTTATATGTAAAAAAAAAATATAATGAATTATAATATTCTAAATTAATTACAATATAATATTTACATATAAAGTAATATAGATATGGTATATAATAATATAAAATATATATTGCATAATAATTTATTAATATTATATATTAAAAAAATATTTTGTAGTAAATAAAAAAATAATCTACACTATTATATAATATATATTACTATATAATTTGTAGCATATTAGTATATAACATGAATAATACTCGGTATAAATTTTGTTTGAGATGAACAGTGCCCGTGCCCTTGTAGTAACCGTGTAGCAAAACATTTTTGGGATAGAGTGCCAAAAACATATGTCATAGGAATCACTTTTTTTTCATCTTTTATTTACAAAAATGGAAAACATTATCTATAATAAAAGCAAAAACATAGGGTTAAACATGATTTTTGTTTTTATTTTGCCTTTTTGAAAGTTGGCAATACAAAACTATAAATGTTTCCCCTTAGTGAGCACACTCTAGAAAATTCAAATTAAATCAAAATGACAAAATATGTGGAATTTGAATTCCAACGTTTCCATAAGTTCTCGAAATAAAAATTATGTAGCCTAACTTCAGAAAATGATATGTAGTCTTGAGTGGTCAACTATACAGTTCACATTCTCCTTCCCTTAGGGGAACACTTTTTGCATTCCAAGGTAGTACAAACTTGTTGCTCTCTTCTTATATTGTGAGTTCAATTTTTTTTATTTTTTTCATTTTAAAAAAAGGTTGTATGCTTAATCTTGCAATATGTGTGTGTGTGTCAATATGATATAAATATTTGTATTTTATATTGATTGATGTGACAGTTACTGAGTAAAACAATTAACGACGAGAGATAATCTATTCTTATCTTTTACTTATAATTATCTTTTACTAACAAAGAATCTTTGTTAGACTCTATTAGATAGAATAACAATAAAAATCGATCGATTTTATATCATTACTCATATTGATATTCTGACTAAGATTATACGTACTTACCCGAAAATATTAAAAAAAAATTCCTACTCAATCTATATATATATATATATATATATATATTTATAATTTTGCCAAACAATTCCTAATATGAGAAGTGTCCTAAGTGTACGTATGGAGTAAAATGGTAGCATGCATTCTAGAGATTTACAAAATATTTGCATAGACTTTACTAGGTTAACACTTTTATTACGAAGACATTTCTATTTTCCAATTTGCATAGATTCACATTTTGTTTTCATCTTGAAGAAACCCTCAGTTTCAAATTTAAGAGGAAAAACATAGTTAACGTGATACTTTTAATTTAAAAAATCAACTTTTTTATGCTATATATTTGAGCCATTCCATTTAAATACGTAGTACTGCTTTACTCAGTTTCCAATTTAAGACTTTATATGATGATATTATATTATATTTGTCTGGGTTAAAGAAAACACTGGTGTGTGTTGACATTCCCTTTCTTCTGGGAAGAGTTTAATCAGTTCTTTTCTCAAAGAAAACCTATAAGCTTATAAGTAACTCAACTTTTGGGTAAAATGCTAGTTTTGGAACTAGTATCTAGAATGGCGCCAAATGGTAAATGATTTAGGGCTCGCTTGGCAGCTGTTTTAAAACTCGAATAGCGCTAGGACACCGCAACTGTTTTTTGTTTTCAGACAACTGAAAATCGAAAAACTATACAAATACTCTGCTTGGTTCAGTTTTCTGAAAACTCAATTATAAAAAGGTCTGTCTTTAGAGACATGTCTTTTATAATTCTCTAAAAACTATTCTATATTTTTTGAGAATGATTTTTAGAGTTACAAAATAAATAGACCCCTAGTTTTTTGGTTTATTGTTTCCCAGATTATCCATTCCCTCTTTAAAGAGGCTGTCTATTTATATTTTATATTTCAGTATTAAATAACAAATACTATATAATAAACAAAAATATCTGCGTTACTAAAGAAGAAAATCAAAATAACTTATGCACATATTATTAGTATATGGGAAACATAGTAAAATTAGTAAAGTAGTAATAAAAGTGTTTTGCGCAATATTATTACCAAACAAATTTAAACATTCTAAGTATAAAAAGTGCTTTAATAAAGAACAATGCTTTCTTTAATAAATGCATCATTTAATACCTAACATAATTTAAACATACTAAGTATAAAAAGTGCTTTAATAAAGAACAATGCTTTCTTTAATAAATGCATCATTTAATACCTAACATATTTTTTACTGACAGTTTTATGACAGATAAAAGCTCTTTAAAAGTGCTTTCATCATTATAGCAGTTCCGCCAAACGAGCACTTAACATCTTCAGCACTTTGATCCCTTGAGGTGAAGACATCAGTCAGAGCCGTTTCAGATATTAGAGCAGCCTTCAGCAGATTCAAAGCCTGCACCAAAAAACAAAAAAAAAAAAAAATAAATAAATAAGGTTCTCCCAATTATTCAGAAGAAAAAAAACAGAGGTAACCCCAATTGTATGGAAGTGCAGAAGCAATTTTTTTTCCCCTAATTGTAGCCCACTAAATTGTGAGAAATCAAAGTACAAGCAGCAGTCATCGTTCAAATTAACCTAACCTCAAATTTGGTGCATCTTTCCATGCTTAATGAAAGTTACAGACGATGACATGAATCACTGCTATAGATCAGCCAGAGAGTAAAATCCAATGGGTGCTATTGTTGTAGTTTCTTGATGCCATATGCTTGTATTTTCTTCTCAAATTGTTTGCGTTTATGCATGTTAAACTAAAAGAACTTCAAACAATGATATTCCAATTGTAAATTACTCGGTTATTATGGAAATCAACTTTCTTTCGAGAATCTAATATCCCCAACCAATGGTTAACTGTTATTTTCTATTATCAAGGGAAATGGGGAGTTTTCATTGGCCAGAGGTACTACATAGTAGGTACCAGGCTATTAAAATTTTTTTCCCCTGAAAGGAATATGTATCGCTGCATTGTTGTTTAACATGCAAGACCACAAGGACATTATGGACACCTAGTATGTCTCTAAGTGTAAAGGAATTCAACCTGTCAAGGAAGAAGCTGCAGGAACCTCTTGCTAACTATTGCGTAATTGAAAATTATCAATTAAAAATATGTGTCCTGCATGCTGTATTAGGTTGATTTCCAAAAATTCATGGCAGAATCCTTATTTATATAACAAAATAATTAGTTCTCTGCCACATTTCGGGTAACATGAGATTCAAAATTTGCTATTTGAAAACTACCTTAAAACCTACACATAATCCAACCTTAAAACCTACACATAATCCAACTAGTTAGCTATGCACGTTCGAAACATGTCAAAACTATCAATAATTATAGGAGGAAAAAAAAAAAAAAAAAAGAAAAAAAGAAAAGAAAAGAAAAGAAAAAAGATGAGAATTTACCTCCTCCCCACCCACTGTCACCACTTTCTGGTCAACATCTGTTATGGGCACATCCAACTTGCCAAGAAATGAAATGCTTGAGATGGGAGAGAGCGGTGTGACAACTAAGTCATCAGTCACCATGAACTTGGCCGGTCCCTTCACAAATCCTCCCCCTCCTGTGGTTTCCCCAGTAGAAGACTTCGGATTCACCATGGACAAGAGTCCCAATTCTTGTCCAAAGCAGCAACCATCGAATTTGGATGTCATAGGGTGGACAAACAACTCACCATCAGTCGCTCCACAAGTATAGAGCAAGTATTGGCGACTGGAACTTTCTTCAATATGCAGTAGCTGGTTCTCACATGCAAAGAAAGGAGCAAGCTTGGGACTGAGTAACACGTTTTTGAGTTCCTCAGATTTCAAGTAGTTTTCAGTGGTTAGATCATTGATGTTTTTGTACAAACTGTCAAAAGTTCCAAGTGAAGACTTTCCACCCAAAAGTTTTAATATAGATCCAAGAGGAAATGTGAGGAAGCTGAAGAGGAAGTCCACAAAATCTTCTCTACATTCTGCATATAATACCTTATTCCTAGATTTGCTTATGAAAATAGTCAAGCTCATCTTCTTTGGGTCACTGGTTGCAGACCTTTTGCCTAGCGATTTAGCCATGTTTCTGGTTTCAATCTCTATAGGATCACTAGCTCCTTTCGCTAATGAAATCAATTGCGTTAAAGGTGCCTTGGTGAGTAATGAGAGTCGAAGCAATTGCAAAATCTGACCGAATAATCAGAAAAAGAAGAAATAAAACATTCAGAAGCGGATTAGCAGCAGAAAAGCAGAAGAAATAAGAAAACAACCAATCCTCTCTACCCTTGCCAGTGAACTTAATGAATTGGCATTCAATTCAACACACAAAACAGTTTGTAAAAACTCACTATAAAAAATGAAAATAACAGAGATATTCTTGCAGGAACACACAAAGAAATGAAGAAAAATGTAAAACATGTTAAACATAAACAAAAAGAAAACAAGAACGATGATGAAATACCGAAGAGGAATCTTGAAGTTGATGAAAAAATTATAAAGAAAAATTGCTGTTGAAGTTCTTTACCACAACTTGTTTTTGAAGATGTGAATGAACAAGGAAAGAGAACAATTAAAGATAAGAGCCTATTTTCTTATGCTAATGAGATTTTGGTTAAAATTAATGTGTAAATTAAACAAAGCTTGGAATAGGTAGGATATTACAACCATAAATGAGAGTGATTGAACCGATTAATTTGCTATGAGCTATAACATCAAATTGGATTTGGAATGACACTAAAACATAATGGAACAGTCTCTTTCAAATGATATTGGAAGTTGGAACAGAATTTGCTCATCTTAAAATTTATTTATAACAGAATCAAATATATTATTTTAATTCTACTGTCACAGGACTAGCACAAAAGAACATATAATAAATGATGATGTGTTGCAACCTTGAAACAATGGAACCACATTAATTCCTTATACTAGCTACTTTTACTGGACTAGCATGAAAGATTGTAAAACACATAAATCTTGACTTGTTACCTCCTCTGGTCCAATATTCAAACTCCGACTCTCAAGCTCATTTGCATCCACGATGCCAAGCTTTTTCAGTAGCACCATACTTGGGGGTATTGAGCCAGACATAATTTGCAAATCATCACTTACCAAAAACCTCTCTGTTCCTCCCTTAAGAAATTCTCCTTCACCTTCATCACAAGAAGCCTCGGTAGTATGTTCTGACAAAGTCACCAGTTCATCCATTACTTCTCCGCAGTGGCAACGGACATTGGAAAACTCACTTAAAATGCCTTTACCTTCCTTTCTGCAGTTTGAATCTCCACAAATATAGTAGCATTCGACAGGGTTTAACTTACCTACAATCGCTTGTTTTAAGTTACTGCATTGAAATTTGGACAATCTTCTCAGCTGAAGCAACATGTCCTGGCAAGCTTCTGTGCTTAAAAATTGTGCATCAAGATTCTCAACACTTCTATATAAGTTATTCATGCATCCAATCACAGTCGGTGGTGACTTGTCATGGAGGAGATTGACAATGGTTCCCACGGACAAAGTCAAGAAGCTGAAGAGAAGATCAACAAAATCCTTATTCGATTCAACAAAGACAACTAGATTCTTCTTCTTTTCAACCAAAACTTCAATTTTGATGTCCTGTTTGCTAGTTGTGAGTTTGAGTCAAGCTAAACTGAATAGGAGACAGTGAAAGAAGAAAAACAATGGTTCCACTTGTATTACTGAAAATGTTTCTAAGGGAGAAAACACTGTAAAATAGGAAACTACTGACATAGTTGTAAAACATTGCAGATACATATTGTTAATCTGTTCCTTGCTCAGTCTGAGCCACTACCATTGCACCAAGCAATGACCCCTACAAGACATTGTACTAGTCTAAACTATTTGTATTCTTATTTTACCCAAAACTTAAGTCAAATAAAATGGAAGTCACAATAATTGAAGCTTCCCCATATTAAAAAGCATGAAAAAACCCACAACTGTCATTAACATACTGTAGGGGTTCTTTATTATAAGATTCGTAACACTATAAAATATTAATGAAAAGGTGAAATCAAGAACACAATAAGAGGGACCCAGAGATAAGATCTGGATGGAGGAGGAAAAGCAGACAACCCCGTGAGAAATTGGTGAAGGTAGGGATGGTTGTATCTGTGACAAATTCTGAATGCTGGTGTGTTAATTCTTCTTGTTCTCACTCTGCCTTTAATGCTTGCTCTAAGGGTGTCTATAGTCCTTAGCACCTCTGGTATTACCCAGAGGTCCTTGATTTTCCTGGTCCTTGCCTTGTACCCTATCGAGTTATCTCTTTACGAGGCGCGATGTACCACCCCCTTTATCATGAGCATTAAATGCATTTGGCTTTATGAGAACGGCGGTAGCTGAGCCAATAATGACTCTGTCAGGGCATTAATGGTGATGGTAAGATTCTCTGTCACAATACATATCCACCATCTCAGTGGTCAGAGCCATCATTCGTGTTAGGCATCTTCTGACTTTTCATCCACCAATCCAAAATCTTTCAAACTGTCATCAGTTGTAAACATGCGAGTAGGACTTATCCACATCTCGCTTTTTGTTTGACAACTTGGGTTCGAGGTCTTAGCAATTAGGTATGACGCTGGAATCATGCTTGGGATTCAAGGGTTGCCCTCTCAAGATTTGTTTACCTGGTGAGATGCCAGGGTTTTGCTTGTGACTCGAGGGTTGGCCAGGTTTGATGACCAGGTGAGATGCCATGGTTTTGCTTGTGACTATAGGATTGCCCTCTTGAGGTTTGATGACCTGATGAGATGCCAAAGTTTTGCTTATGTTCAATCAATGGGTGTTTGACTTCTCAGTGTGCCACGTGGGCAACAGTCCAAGTGTGTTTGCCTTCGGCCCATGTGGAGTAGCTTAATAGGACACCTACAGATACAATTATGAAATAAATTGGCAAAATTTATACAGTCTAACTGGAGAGTGATATTATTATTGAACCCCAAGGGGATAGCCTAAATGCCAAAGGCTCTCACCTCAAATCTTGTTGGGAGTTCAAATCCTTTGGGGCCATCTCTAGGGAGTTTTTCCGATAATTGTCCGGTGCATATGCAACGGGAGACAACATGTGACCAGTGGTGGTCCCAATGAAACTTCACTTATGGTCCCAAAAATTCAATGAATTGTTTTTTGTTCAACAAACATACATTGGGCCCAAAATAGAGAGTTTGAAAATAAAATTAAACTTGTGTCTTTTGAAACTTATAAAATTTTTAATATGGACCATTTTAACCATACTCTTCAAAGAAAAAATCACGTGAAACAAAATTTAAGTTTATTCTTATTGTAGTCCTTATCTAAATATATATACTAATAATACTTTTAATTGTCACTTGCTAAATAACAATTTGTATGACTACAGTTCTTGTATAAGTTACTAAAGTAATACTTTTGTATTCTTAACACTTGTGAAATTTTGTTTAGTTAAAATTATTTTGTTTCTTAATCTTTTATCAAGGTAATAATGATATATATTTCTCATAGCAAAATCAAAGTACTCAAAAAGTTTTTGAAAATTGAAACAATTCCTATGTACTATGACTGTATATGTACTATGACTGTATATTATAAATAAAATTATATTACAATTGATTTTTTTTATAAAAAAAAATAATAATAAATCAAAATTTAGTTACATAATACAAGTTTGCCCTCGAAAGTAAAATTTGCCGCTCCGCCCTGGCGGCGGACCTAGCCAACCAGGTGATAATTGCCTTGTTTGGTGGCATGGGATTGGAGCCTTGGAATCAGAGAAAATTTTGGTTCAATTTTCAGAGTTACTTTTCTCTAATTCCTCCAAAATTCCATGCCAGCCAAACATAGCGTAAGTGAAATTGAGTTGTAAACAAATGATCCTAACATAAATTACTAGAAAACACTAGTTTCACTAACAAAATATCTTGATAAGTTTTAAAATTGCAATTTTTTTTGGGGTGCATTATTATAAATCCACAATATTCACCGAAAACAAATAAAACGTCACATCCTACAAGGCTACTTATTATTCCTAAATAGACAGCAGTAATAGTTAATTAGGCGAAATTTTAATAGCATGATAAAAAAACAAATAGATAAAAAATTTGCATATGGAAGTAAATAGAGGAGACGGTAAGTCACCGGAATGGTACTAGTTTGGGGTGAAAAATTATAATCATCGTCGGAGTTCGAAGGATAATCTAGTTCGCCGGACCCACGAGCAGCACCAAAACCCGAATCCAACTCTCCGGACCCACGAGCAGCACCAAAACCCCCACCGGAACTAGGACTTCCCTTTACCCGAGTGGCACTGGAAAATGGGAGAGAGATGACGATAGGATATGACATCTCGACTTTGGGAGGGAGGGAGGGAGGGAGAGAGAGAGGAGAGGGTTTCTGGTGATCACCTCACCTGAACTATGCGATTTTCTAAATGGAAGGGTGTGAAAGTTGCTGAATGCAAAAGAAATTATTCCTTGGTTAAAAATGCAAAAGAAAACAGAGGTGTGAGGGTAAAATTGTCAATTCATTTAAGAATAATGATAGAGCACCCTAAAAATATTCCCGAAATAATTGTCTTTAAGATAAAAACCAGACTCCATCTCTCAGAAAAACTGATAAGTAATTTGAAGATTTTGTAAGTCATCCGCTTTCACTTTCTCTGAACTTTGTAGGTTTAGGATTTCATCTAATAGACCACAAAGATTTATACAAAACATTTCAAAATTATATAATAAAATAAAAATAAAAATAAAACCCCCAATTTCTTTGATTCTACCGTCACCATGTCTATTTCATGTTTTGCCTTAATTCTTGCTTTCAAAAATTGTGAAAGAGAGTATTGATTGAATAGTTACTGGAGAAAAAAACTCATTACAAAGCCTAAAAGGAGTGTGAAGTCCGGATCAATCTTGTTGTGAAAATGTGTTTTGTTATTTATTTATTTTTAATTTGTGAAAACATATATATATATATATATATGTTAGATTTGTGTATTTAACCGCCATATCTTCACATCATTGCCTTTTTCTATCCACGATCATTGAATTATTTTTCTTTTCTTTTTTACTTTACGCGAAATTATAAAGGAGGTTTGTTAGCTGAGTCTTACCTTTTAAGGAGTCTGGGCCACATTCGGTGATTATTTCGGGATAAAATTCGTTGCTCTATTCTATTCATTTAATAGAGAAAAAAAAAATGGAAATTTTTATCTAAAAAAAAAAAAATTAACGAGAAATTGTTCATCATATATGGTTTTGGGTAAATTAGAGTGAAAAAGAAAAAAAGAAAAAGAACACATATATATACACACACACACACACAAGGACAAACTACATGCAGGTTCAACTACAATATACTCCTATGTCCTACTCAATTGCTGGAGTAATTTTAGTATCTTCCCGACTAGTGTGTGTTATGAAATTAATATTTTACACTCATTTATATTTCAAAGAAAATTAATATTTTACACTCATTTATATTTCAAAGAAAATTAATATTTTACACTCATTTATATTTCAAAGAAAATTAATATTTTACACTCATTTATATTTCAAAGAAAATTACATTAAACTTAATAAAAACAATACTACCAAGAAATATAAGTTTCAATCCGGGTTTGGCTCCAATCGGGACGGACTTGTGATGGACTCAGTGGGGACAATTGCGTCCACTGTAATTTTTTACTTTTGCTATTATACCTACTAATTTTGCTTTTCTTAATTATATACTCAACCTTTTTAGTTAAAAAGTCGTCGACTCTCACATACTCGCATACTTTTTTGAATCCGTCCCGATTCTGGTGCACGCTTTACGAGTACTGTGTGGTGGTGGGGCGTCTTGGATGATACAGGACTAGTAATTCAAAATATATATATATATATATTGCAAATAGATACAAACCAAATCATTGCAGTGGTGCCTTCTTTACGTTTATGCGTACAACATAAGGGTAAAGGAAGTAGGCTACGTGTAAAACAAGAAAGAGGAAATAAAGAGAAATAGGCTTATGACATTAAGCACTGAGAAGCATGCCTTTACTTTTTTTCAGTTACAGTAGAAAACAAATATATATATTTACAAGGGCTTACAAAATATTTTAAAATTTTTATTTTATTATCAAAAAATCTTAAAATATAGGCGATTCAATTATTTCACAAATATTAACATTACCAAATACATGATAATAAAATACAATGGTTCCTGTGGACAAAGTGAAGAAGCTGAAGAGAAGATCAACGAAATCCTTGTCCAGCATATGAGGGTATAGATAGTAATTAAAAGAAATAATGATTCGGAAAGTTACAAACAAAATTTGAAACTTAATGAATTAGTTTCAATGACCCTTTCATTTTGAATAAAGATCTTATATTTGCCCTTTTCCAAATATAGAAAGAAAGAAAACGTTTTTATTTTTTATTATTGTGATTGTGACAAGCGGGTCGATGGGGAAAATAAGAATTCCAACCCCGAAAATGATAAAATATACTAAAAAGAAAGGGAAAACTCCATATCTTATCTTTATTCGTTTTTTCAAACACAAAGGTATTACTTTTAGAATTCGGTAAAGAGACAAATTATTATTATATATATCAGAAAAGCAAGATGAATTCTATTTCATATTGATTAGTCCAATACAGTAAGTAATGGAAATTATTAATTATATTATAAATAAAATTAGCCAATTTTTCGAGTCAAGTTGATTCAGATTATTCCAACGTTTGATTATTTATTTGTTTGTTGCACAAAAAAACTTTTTGAATTTCAGGTAGAAAGATATTTCACTAACAAAAAGGCTTTTAGCGCTGCCCAATATCCCTTCTTTTTCCACATATTTTTTCGAATACGCTTTTTTGATATAGAAGTACGTTTTTTTGGAACTGCCATTTTAAAATTACGAGATCACTCATTGTTATAGTTGGATGTGAAAGACATCTATTGTTCAAAACGAATTGTTCTTTACTATTCATTATCTATCTATTTATTCTCTAGATAATATTCTCTTCATAAAAAATAAATATAGATATGTGAAAATCGTATAAAATATTACTAAAAAAAAAAAAAGAATATGATATATGATTATTATGTGATTTAAAAAAATTGTTTTTTCTATTCCCTACAATATCTTGAAGAAAGAAAAATTTGTACTGATTGGTATCTTTATTTCTCATTCTTTCTCACTTAAATCTATATCTGTAGAATCCGATATATCATAGAAACGAAATTGGTTGAAGTTTATAAAATCCAACCTCCATTTCTGTTTCTGTCTATTTTCTGCGTTCGATATTTCATTTACATGTAATAAAATACATCAAAAAGTTTAAGAAACCAACTTTTCCCTACTGAAAAAACTTTCATCTTTTTTTCTATTAATTGGTCAAGCCCGAGGAAGGGGTATTTCTAATTTCACATTTCAAATTTGAATGGGACTAGTAATTAATCTGTTAAAAGATACGTGACATAATACTAGTTAATAATTTTGAATAAACTAACTACAATGGCGAGTTCTTATCTTATTAGGCCAAGTTGTTGATCTTAGTTGATCCTATGATTAATATCAGAATCAAAGACCTTTTTTTGGTATAATTCTTCATCCTTGCTCTATGGGAGAGAAATTTTTGTAATAATACTAAAAATTGTAAGTTTTTCTATCTTCATAAATATCTTAATTAAGAACTAAGTATTCACTTTTTACTAGTAATTTATTTGACCAATTCTAATTTTTTGATTTGAATATTTGAAGTATTTAGGAAAGACTCAAAATAAATAAGAATAGAAAATTCTAAAATTTTCTTTAAGTTAGTTTAAGTTAGTGCATATCTTTATTTTTTTTATTGACTCCTTTCGAAAAAGGCAAGATCTGGCGAATCGGAAACAATTAATTACTTTTTATTTTTTTATGGAACATACATATCAATATGCATGGATCATACCTTTGATTCCACTTCCAGTTCCTATGTTAATAGGAGTGGGGCTTCTTCTTTTTCCGACGGCAACAAAAAATCTCCGTCGTATATGGGCTTTTCTAAGTGTTCTATTGTTAAGTATAGTCATGATTTTTTCGATCGATCTGTCTATTCAGCAAATGAATAGCAGTTCTATCTATCAATATGTATGGTCTTGGATCATCAATAATGATTTTTCTTTAGAATTGGGCTACGTAATCGATCCACTTACTTCTATTATGTCAATATTAATTACTAGTGTTGGAATATGGTTCTTATTTATAGTGATAATTATATGTCTCATGATCAAGGATATTTGAGATTTTTTGCTTATATGAGTTTTTCAGTACTTCCATGTTGGGATTAGTTACTAGTTCAAATTTGATACAAATTTATATTTTTTGGGAATTGGTTGGAATGTGTTCCTATTTATTAATAGGATTTTGGTTCACACGACCGGTTGCGGCAAATGCTTGTCAAAAAGCGTTTGTAACTAATTGTGTAGGGGATTTTGGTTTATTATTAGGAATTTTAGGTTTTTATTGGATAACAGGTAGTTTTGAATTTCGGGATTTATTCGAAATAGTAAATAACTTGATTTTAAAAAATGAGGTCAATTTATCATTTATTACTGTGTGTGCCGTTCTAGTATTTGTCGGTGCAGTTGCTAAATCTGCACAATTCCCCCTTCATGTATGGTTACCTGATGCCATGGAAGGGCCTACTCCTATTTCGGCTCTTATACATGCTGCTACTATGGTAGCGGCAAGAGTTTTTATTGTAGCTCGGCTTCTTCCTCTTTTCACAGTCATACCTTACATACTGAATCTAATATCTTGGATAGGTATAATAACAGTATTATTAGGCGCTACTTTAGCTCTTGCTCAAAAAGACATTAAGAGAAGTTTAGCCTACTCTATAATGTCTCAGTTGGGTTATATGATGTTAGCTCTAGGTATGGGGTCTTATCGAACTGCTTTATTTCATTTGATTACCCATGCATATTCGAAAGCATTATTGTTTTTAGGATCCGGATCTGTTATTCATTCAATGGAAACTATTGTAGGATATTCTCCAGATAAAAGTCAGAATATGGTTTTTATGGGGGGTTTAACAAAACATGTACCAATCACAAAAATTTCTTTTTTATTAGGTACACTTTCTCTTTGTGGTATTCCACCTCTTGCTTGTTTTTGGTCCAAAGATGAAATTCTTAATGATAGTTGGTTGTATTCACCAATTTTTGCAATAATAGCTTGCTCTACAACAGGATTAACTGCATTTTATATGTTTCGGATCTATTTACTTACTTTGAGGGTCATTTAATCGTTCATTTTCAAAATTATAGCAGCAAAAAAAATACCC